TTAAGTGTGATCGCCAGAGATGATCTGTAAAACCTTGAAACTTGATGAGATCACCTAGGGAAAGAAAGTAAGTTTTAGCCCTTATTATTTAAAATACCATTTAAAAAAATCAGAATTTTGGAAAACAGAGAAATGAGAATATTTTACCTATTGTCAACCACAGTTAACCACTTCTTTTCAGCTTTTATTTCTTTTCAGCTTGTATTCTTTCCATCAGATCTTTTAAATAATTGTATTGAGCCTTCTTTTGGCCTAAATATAAGAAATTTTAGGAAGGAAATGAACAGAGAGTTATTAAAAGTATAATAAATCAAGAAAAGGAGGCACATTCAGGAGACAAATTCATGGAATGACAGGAAAAAGAAAGGAAATTCCTCTACTTTCGGAAGTTTTGAAGGATAAGATTTTGAGCAGCACCTCTGTTGACTGGAGAATTTAAGAGGGAATGGTCAGAACACCGGAAGTGTAGTGGGCTGGGAAAAAGAGACTTTGGCTCTAAATGTCTATGTCTGCGTTAAAACATATATAAAGGCAAATAGCATTGCAAACTCTCCCCAAAATATCCATGAGTAATCTCTTGAGTTAGAAGTAATTTATTCCCGAGAGATTTCATAGCATCTCATATAATTAACTTGGTAAAACAAAATATAGTATCAATGTCATCATTCAGTTTTCTTATATTCTTTCATTCAACAAATGTCTATTGCTGCCTATGTGCCGGACAGTGTTATAAGTGCTGGAAATTTGGTGGTAAACAAGACAGATAAGGTTCCTGCTCTTAATGTGCTTATATTATGCATGTGTCCTAGTGGAGGGCTAGGGAGGGAGACAGGCAGCAAACAAATATATGAGCAATATAATTCCAAAGACAGCTAAGGGCTAAGACGATAAAACAGAGTGATGAGATAGAGAGGAGAGGGGTGAGGTTGGAGGCCCGTTTAGATTGAATGGTCAAGGAAGATTGGGACTGGTTTAACCAGATGCATGGTCTGGTTTGTATTTTTTATAGATCAGTCTAGCTACTGTGTGGAGAATGATTATAAGGATTATTGGGAATCAAAAATGGGGATGGAAGAGTAGACTGGAAGCTCTTGGAGTAGTTGAGGTGAAAGATGACAGTAGGTGGCATTAGGATGGAGATGGAAGAAGAAAATAGATTCAGGCTACGTTTTTTAGATTAAGTTACCAGGATTTTCTGAAAAATTGGAAATGGCAGATAGTGGAAGGCAACTGAGGGGAACAAAGATGATGCCAAGATTTTGGAGTTGTATTAGTTTCCTTGATAAAGTAGACTCGTTTCCGCTGAGTCAATTCTGACTCATAACGACCCTATAGGACAGAGTAGAACTGCCCCATAGAGTTTCCAAGGAGCGGCTGGTGGATTCGAACTGCCGACTTTTTGGTTAGTAGCTGAGCTCTTAACCACTACATCACCAGGGCGCCAGGTGAAGTAGAGGGTCA